CAGGACGATTAAATGATTCAAAATGTTGGTATTTTTGAACGTTTTTTTAATTTTTTATCATTTTTGGGTAACGGATTGACGGACATCTGCAACGAAAGCCAATTTTATCGTCCTGAGAGGTGAAATGTTACATTTTGAAATAATAAAGTGAGAAATTGATATTATTCGGAACATATATTTTTCTACTTGTCAGTGAGATATGATCCATGATATAGTAATTTAGTGGGAAATATATTACCAATAACACAGAGCCCCTCGTATGCTTTCAGCTCATATTGAATTACTTCCATAGCTATTGTATAACCATAATTATAGCAAAATATGCAATCCTACGACTCTGTGTCGGATGAACAAGTTCAATAAGCAGCCATGGCGTACTGATTACGTAGCTACGCAATAGCGATCACGTGTCTGGCGCCACGAAGACGGGACTACGTGCAGTCGAGACGACTTGCGTAGCAAATTGCGTGAGATGACAATTTCGGAAAATCGTGTTCTTGACAGATCAACTGACGAATTTCGATGAAGCTTTAAACCTTTTTATTATGTAAACTTAGAGACACCGGATGCGTATAATGAATATTGAAATTGCATTTGGGAAATACTTCATTTGCACGCCAATATTAGTTCAAATATCCACACAAATAAGTATTTGCTCGCTATAAATACCAAGATTGAATGAAATGTTTGCCGAGGCAAGTAAGACTTCGAATTTCATCGTTTACTGACTGAACCCACCAAATCTGGAAGCGCCCGACGAAAACTCAGGAGCAATACTAAGATACAAACGCACCTGAAATGTATTACGCATGTTTCGGTATTATCCGACACATCAGTCCTAGGTGAAAGAACTCACCTACACATGCGTATCTTGTCGGAATTGCTCTCTCATGCTATTATAACATAAGTTGGAGATAACTTGTCTTGATATCTCACTGCGATAAAGATTCAATTCGAACATTTTATTCAGCAATCAGAATCATTTATTATACGAAAATATCAAATTCGAACAAAGAAAACAAAATCGTTTACTAGCATAAAAATATATCCTTCATTCGCTATATATGCCAATAACATTAATAATGGCCAATAATTGTCACTCACAAGGATAACATATTGCAAAATAAACAAAGTAGTCACATTGCATATTCATACAACTGTAACACATATGTACTTGAAACATACGAACATAGTAAATTTATTACCGAGCTTCCATATCGGAATTCATTATAAAAAATTAATGTGCAGTATGGTAATACATCAATCGAAGAATTTGTCAAAAACGCTATGGAATCACAGACGTAGTCAATATGTTGCCTCATTCGAATTATGGTTTGGTGAAGTTAGCGTCTACCATGCACTAAACTATCAACATATCTAGCTTGGCCGATGAATCGCAAATATAAATATAAAAAATATGTGTGGAGTCCGATTGGCGCCAACGCACCTGGATTTTAACTTTGTTACAGTTACAGTTGTATGAATATGCAATGTGACTACTTTGTTTATTTGGCAATATGTTATCCTTGTGAGTGACAATAATTGGCCATTATTAATGTTATTTGGAATATATAGCGAATGAAGGATATATTTTTATGCTAGTAAACGATTTTGTTTTCTTTGTTCAAATTTGATATTTTCGTATAATAAAAAGATTCTGATTGCTGAATAAAATGTTCGAATCGAATCTTTATCGCAATGAGAGATCAAGACAAGTTATCATCAACTTATGTTATAATAGCATGAGAGAGCAAGATACGCGTGTGTAGGTGAGTTCTTTCACCTACGACTGAAGTGTCGGAATGAACGATAACTGATGACACCGCTGGGTTCGCCCCCTTTCCCGATGAATCAAAAAACTAAATTACGAGAGAGAATGAATTGGAGAGAACTCTCTCCGTTTTCACCTTGGCACGGAACGGTAAAATTGAAAAAACTGATCTTGGCATCGAAAGTGTTAATGAGAGCAGTGCACTAACTAATGAACTATGGCGTTGACTGCAACTATGCATGGAACAAGATAATATTAACTAATTGTAAGGTTTGTTGTTTCATTTACTCGATAGGTTAAACATTAAAAAATTTGAAACCAAATCCTACCGCAGTGAGGATCGGAACTTACATCGACCACCCTGGTTATCAAGACTCAGTGCTTTAAACACTGAGCTATGGCCGGCGACTGAAACGCTATAATGGGACAAGACAATGTTTTGTATTGATTTAACTATTCCACTCGTTTGAATCCGATTGGGCGCCAACGTGAAACTATGCATGGAGCAAGACAATGTATAGATTTCATTAACAATGAATGTCATTTTTTTAATTTCTTGATAGACAGACAACACAATAGGAGCATCCAAAGCCTCCAGTGAGGATCGAACTCACGAATCTTGGTTTACATGACCAGTGCCCTGACAGCTGAGCTATGGCTGGGACTGAAAACGCGGGTGGAACATGACAATGTGTGGATTTGATAGATTGGTTGATAAAGCAAAAGCAGTCAAAGACAACAATACAGCCACCAGCGAGATTCGAACTCGCGATATGGCGGCGTCGAAAATGCAAATGGAACGAAACAATTTATAGATTTCAATAACTAATTGCCATTTTCTTATTTGCTTGATAGATAGACATCACGGAACGAGCATGCAAAGCCACCAGTGAGTATCGAACTCACGACCCCTGGTTTACAAGACCAGTGCTCCAATTACGGATGTATGGCGGATACTAAAAAGACCGTTGGAAAAGGACAATGTATAGATTGATTTACCTACTTTCACTCGTTCGGATTTGATTGATTGGTTGATTAGAGCAAAAGCAGTTAAAGACGCGCAATTAGGCCACCAGTGAGGATCGAACTCCGATCCCCTGCTTTATGAGAGCAGTGCACTAACCAACGAACATATGGCGTGACTGAAACTATGCATGGAACAAGATAATGTGCTAGATTTCATTAACTAATTGTAAGGTTTGTTGTTTCATTCACTCGATAGATGGACATCAAGAAACTAGGAAACCAAGCCACCAGTGGATCGGAACTCACGACCCCTGGTTTACAAAAAGACCAAGTGCTCTAACCATGAGCTATGGTCGGCGACTGTAAGCTCAATGAAACAAGACCAATGTGTTGGATTTGATTTAACCACTTCCACTCGTTACGGATTTTAATGATTGGTATATAAAGCAAAAGCAGTTAAAGAAAAGCAATAAATGCCATCAGCGATATTTAAACTTGCGACCCCTGCTTCACGAGAGGAGTGCTCTAACCACTGAGCTATGGCGAAAAATTAAAATACGGTTTAACTAAGTGTCATTTTTTAAGTTCTTGATAGATTAACATCACAAAGAAAGCATTCAAACCCACCAGTGAAAATCGAAGTCACGACCCCTGGTTTACAAGACCAGCGCCCTAACAACTGAGCTATGGCGGCGACTGAAAACGCTAATGAAACAAGACAATGTTTGGATTTGATTAACTAATTCCACTCGTTTGGATTTGATTGGCGTCGACTATGGCGCCGACTGGAACTATTCATGGAACAAGATAATGTATAGATTTCAGTAACTAATTGTCAGGTGTGTTGTTTCATTTACTCGATAGATAAGACATAAAAAAACAAAGAACCAAAATGCTTGATGAGAGCAGTGCACTAACTAATGAACTATGGCGTTGACTGCAACTATGCATGGAACAAGATAATATTAACTAATTGTAAGGTTTGTTGTTTCATTTACTCGATAGTTAAACATAAAAAATTGAAACCAAACCCACCAGTGAGGATCGAACTCACGACCCCTGGTTTATAAGACCAGTGCTTTAACCACTGAGCTATGCGGCGACTGAAAACGCTAATGGAACATAAGACAATGTTTGGATTTGATTAACTAATTCCACTCGTTCGGATTTGATTGGCGCCGACTATGGCGCCGACTGAAACTATTCATGGAACAAGATAATGTATAGATTTCAGTAACTAATTGTCAGGTGTGTTGTTTCATTTACTCGATAGATAAGACATAAAAAAACAAAGAACCAAAATGCTTAATGAGAGCAGTGCACTAACTAATGAACTATGGCGTTGACTGCAACTATGCATGGAACAAGATATTATTAACTAATTGTAAGGTTTGTTCTTTCATTTACTCGATAGTTAAACATAAAAAAATTGAAACCAAAGCCACAAGTGAGGATCGAACTCACGACCCCTGGTTTACAAGACCAGTGCTCTAACCACTGAGCTATGGCGGCGACTGAAAACTTCAATGGAACAAGACAATGTTTGGATTTGATTAACTAATTCCACTCGTTCGGATTTGATTGGCGCCGACTATGGCGCCGACTGAAACTATTCATGGAACAAGATAATGTATAGATTTCAGTAACTAATTGTCAGATGTGTTGTTTCATTTACTCGATAGATAAGACATAAAAAACAAAGAACCAAAATGCTTGATGAGAGCAGTGTACTAACTAATGAACTATGGCGTTGACTGCAACTATGCATGGAACAAGATAATATTAACTAATTGTAAGGTTTGTTGTTTCATTTACTCGATAGTTAAACATAAAAAATTAAAACCAAACCCCACAGTGAGGATCGAACTCACGACCCCTGGTTTATAAAGACCAGTGCTTTAACCACTGAGCTATGGCGGCGACTGAAAACGCTAATGGAACAAGACAATGTTTGGATTTGTTAACTAATTCCCACTCGTTCGGATTTGATTGGCGCCCACTATGGCGCCGACTTGAAACTATTCATGGAACAAGATAATGTATAGATTTCAGTAACTAATTGTCAGGTGTGTTGTTTCATTTACGTCCGATAGATAAGACATAAAAAAAACAAAGGAACCAAAATGCTTAATGAGAGCAGTGCACCTAACTAATGAACTATGGCGTTGACTGCAACTATGTTATGGAACAAGATAAATATTTAACTAATTGTAAGGTTTGTTCTTCATTTACTCGATAGTTAAACATAAAAAATTGAAACCAAACCCACCAGTGAGGATCGAACCTCACGACCCCTGGTTTATAAGACCAGTGCTTTAAACCACTGAGCTATGGCGGGCGACCTGAAAACGCTAATGAAACAAGACAATGTTGGATTTGATTAACTACTTTCACTCGTTCGAGATCCGATTGGCGCCAACTGAAACTATGCACGGAGCAAGACAATGTATAGATTTCATTAACTAATGAAATGTCATTTTTTTAATTTCTTGATAGACAGACAACACAATAGGAGCATCTCAAAGCCTCCAGTGAGGATCGAACATCACGACCCTTGGTTTACAAGACCAGTGCCCCTGACAGCTGAGCTATGGCTGCGACTGAAAAACGCGGGTGGAACATGACAGATGTGGGATTGGATTGATTGGTTGATAAAGCAAAACGCAGTCAAAGACAACAATACAGCCACCAGCGAGATTCGAACTCGCGACCCCTGCTTTACGAGAGCAGTGCTCTAACCACTGAGCTATGGCGGCGTCGAAAATGCAAATGGAACGAAACAATTTATAGATTTCAATAACTAATTGCCATTTTCTTATTTGCTTGATAGATAGACATCACGGAACGAACATGCAAAGCCACCAGTGAGTATCGAACTCACGACCCCTGGTTTACAAGACCAGTGCTCCAATTACGGATGTATGGCGGATAATAAAAAGACCGTTGGAAAAGGACAATGTATAGATTTGATTTACTACTTTCACTCGTTCGGATTTGATTGATTGGTTGATAGAGCAAAAGCAGTTGAAGACAGCAATTAGGCCACCAGTGAGGATCGAACTCCCGACCCCTGCTTTATGAGAGCAGTGCACTAACCAACGAACTATAGCGTTGACTGAAACTATGCATGGAACAAGATAATGTGTAGATTTCATTAACTAATTGTAAGGTTTGTTGTTTCATTTACTCGATAGATAAACATTAAAAAAATCGGAACCAAAGCCACCAGTGAGGATCGAACTCACGACCCCTGGTTTACAAGACCAGTGCTCTAACGACTGAGCCATGGCGGCGACTGAACACACGAAGGAAACAAGACATTGTGTGGATTTGATTAACTAATTTAACTCGTTCGGATTTGATTGGCGCCGACTGCAACTATGCATGGAACAAGATAATGTATAGATTTCATTAACTAATTGTAAGGTTTGTTGTTTCATTTACTCGATAGTTAAACATAAAAAAATTGGAACCAAAGCCACCAGTGAGGATCGAATTCACGACGCCTGGTTTACAAGACCAGTGCTTTAACGACTGAGCTATGGCGGCGACTGAACACGCGAAGGAAACAAGACATTGTGTGGATTTGATTAACTAATTCCACTCGTTCGGATTTGATTGGCGCCGACTATGGCGCCGACTGAAACTATTCATGGAACAAGATAATGTATAGATTTCAGTAACTAATTGTCAGGTGTGTTGTTTCATTTACTCGATAGATAAGACAAAAAAAAACAAAGAACCAAAGCCACCAGTGAGGATCGAATTCACGACCCCTGGTTTACGGGACCAGTGCCCTATCCTCTGCGCTTTGGCGGCGACTAAAATCACGAATGAAACAAGACAATGTGTGAATTTGATTTACTACTTTTACTCGTTCGGATCCGATTGGCGCCAACTGAAACTATGCATGGAGCAAGACAATGTATAGATTTAATTAACTATGAATGTCAAGCAGTCAAAGACAACAATACAGCCACCAGTGAGATTCGAACTCGCGACCGCTGCTTTACGAGAGCAGTGCTCTAACCACTGAACTATGGCGGCGTCGAAAATGCAACGGAACGAAAAAATTTATAGATTTCAATCACTTATTGCCATTTTCTAATTTTCTTGATAGATAGACATCACGGAACGAGCATGCAAAGCCACCAGTGAGGATCGAACTCACGACCCCTGGTTTACAAGACCAGTGCTCTAGTTACGGATGTATGGCGGCTACTGAAAAGACCGTTGGAACAGGACAATGTATAGATTTGAATAACTACTTTCACTCGTTCGAACTATGGCGTCGACTGAAACTATCCATGGAAGAAGATATTGTATAGATTTCGTTAAATAATTGTCATTTTTTTATTTTCTTGAAAGACAAACATAAACAAAAGGGACAACCAAAGCCACCAGTGAGGATCGAACTCACGACCCCTGGTTCACAAGACCAGTGCTCTAACCACTGAGCTACGGCCGCGACAGAAAACGCTAATGAAACAAGACAATGTGTGGATTTGATTAACCACTTCCAACTCGTTCGGATTTTAATGATTGGTATATAAGCAAAGCAGTTAAAGACAGCAATAAAGCCATTAGCGAGATTTAAACTCGCGACTCTTGCTTCACGGGAGAAGTGCACTAACCAATGAACTATGGCGTCGACTGAGTCTATGCGTGGAAGGAGATAATGTAAAGATTTCGTTAAATAATTGTCAATTTTTTATTTTCTCCAAAGACAGACATAAACAAAAGGGACATGGTAAAGCCACCAGTGAGGATTGAAACTCGCGACCCCTGCTTTACGAGAGCAGTGCACTAACCAATGAACTATTACGTCGACTGAAACTATGCATGAAACAAGATAATGTATAGATTTCATTAACTAATTGTAAGGTTTGTTGTTTCAGTTACTCGATAGATAAACATTAAAAAAATCGGAACCAAAGCCATCAGTGAGGATCGAACTCACGACCCGTGGTTTACAAGACCAGTGCTCTAACCATTGAACTATGGCGTCGACTGAAACTATGCATGGAAGAAGATAAGGTATAGATTCGTTAAATAGTTGTTATTTTTTAATTTTCTTGAAAGATAGACATAAACAAAAAGGACATCCAAGCCACCAGTGAGGATCGAACTCACGACCCCTGGTTTACAAGACCAGTGCTCTAATTACGGATGTATATCGGCTAACTGAAAAGACCGTTGGAGAAAGGACAATGTATAGATTTGATTACCTACTTTCACTCGTTCGGATTTGACGGATTCTTAGATATACCAATAAAGAAGCCATCCAGAACAGCAATAAAGCCACTCTGCTCGGTTACAACTCGCGACTCCTGCTTTACGAGAGCATTGCCTCTAACCATTGAACTATGGCGTCGACTGAAACTATGCGTGGAAGAAGATAAGGTATAGATTTTGTTAAATAGTTTGTTATTTTTTAATTTTTCTTGAAAAGATATACATAAACAAAAGGGACATTCAAAGCCACCAATGAGAATCTATGTCAAGGCGACCCCTGGTTTACAAGACCAGTGCTCTAACCACTGAGCTATGGCGGCGACTGAAAAGACTGAAAGAAGGACAATGTTTGGATTTGATTAAACTACTTTCACTCGTTCGGATTTGATTGATTGATTAGAGCAAAAGTAGTTAAAGACAGCAATTAAGCCACCAGTGAGATCGAACTCGCGACCCCTGTTTTATGAGAGCAATGCATTAACCAATAACTATGGCGTTGACTGAAACTATGCATGGAACAAGATAATGTGTAGAATTCATTAACTAATTGTAATGTTTGTTGTTTCATTTACTCGATAGATGGACATCAAAAAACTAGGAACCAAGCCACCAGTGAGGATCGAACTCACGAGCCGTGGTTTACAAGACCATTGCTCTAACCACTGAGCTATGGGCGGCGGCTGAAAACGCTAATGAAACAAGACAATGTGTGGATTTGAATTAACTACTTCCACCCTTTCGGATTTCAATGATTGGTATAAAAGCAAAAAGCAGTTAAAGACAGCAATAAAGCCACCAACGAGATTCAAACTTGCGACCCCTGCTTTACGAGAAGGAGTGCTCTAACCACTGAGCTATGGCGGAAAATTAAAATACGGTTTAACTAAGTGTCATTTTTTTAATTTTCTGAAAGATTAACATCAACAAAAGGGAGCATCAAAGCCACCAGTGAGAATCGAACTCACGACCCCTGGTTTACAAGACCAGTGCTCTAACACTGAGCTAGTGGCGGCGATTTTCTGACAAAAGACTGAACAAGACAATGTTGTAGCATTTGATTAACTACTTTCACTTTTCCGGATTTGATTGATTGGTGTGATATACCAAGAAAAGCCGTCCAAAACAGCAATGAAAGTACCCAGCGCGGTCCCCAACTCGCGACTCCTGCTTCACCGAGAGCAGTGCAACCAACCCAATGAACTACTGGGCGTCGGACTGAACTATCCCTGGAGAAGATAATGTATAGATTTCGTTAAATAATTGTCATTTTTTTATTTTTTTGAAAGACAGACATAAACAGAAGGGACATCCAAAGCCACCAGTGAGGATCGAACAACGCGATCCCCCTGCTTTTACGAGAGCAGTGCACTAACCAATGAACTACGGCGTCGACTAAAACTATGCATGAAACAAGATAATGTATAAATTTCATTAACTAATTGTGAGGTTTGTTGTTTCATTTACTCGATAGATAAACATCAAAAAAATCGGAACCAAAGCCAACAGTGAGGATCAAACTCACGACCCCTGGTTTACAAGACCAGCGCCCTAACAACTGAGCTATGGCGGCAACTGGAGACGCAAATGAAACAAGACAATGTGTGAATTTGATTAACTACTTTCACTCGTTCGGATTTGACTCACTAACCAATGAAACTATGCATGGAACAAGATAATGTATAGATTTCGTTAAAGAATTGTCAATTTTTAATTTTCTTGAAAGATAGACATGAACAAAAGGGACATCCGACGCCACCAGTAAGAATCGAACTCATGGCCTTTGGTTTACAAGACCAGTGCTCTAACTACTGAGCTATGGCGGCGACTCAGCACGCGAATGAAACAGGACAATGTGTGGATTGGATTACCTAATTTCAGTTTTTCGGATTTGATTGGCGCCGACCATGGCGTCGACTGAAACCATGCATGGAACAAGATAATGTATAGATTTCATTAACTAATTGTAAGGTTTGTTGTTTCATTTACTCGATAAATGGACATCAAAAAACTAGGAACCAAAGTCAAAAGTCAGGATCAAACTCACGACCCCTGGTTCACAAGACCATTGCTCTAACCACTGAGCTAAGACGGCACCTGAAAACGCTAATGAAACAAGACAATGTGTAGATTTGATTAACCACTTTCACTTGTTCGGATTTGATTGATTGGTGGATATACCAAGAGAAGCTGTCCAAAACAGCAATGAAATCACCAGCGCGGTTCCAACTCGCGACTCCTGCTTCACGAGAGCAGTGCACTAACCAATGAACTACGGCGTCGACTGAAACTATGCATGAAACAAGATAATGTATGAATTTCATTAACTAATTGTGAGGTTTGTTGTTTCATTTACTCGATAGATAAACATAAAAAAAATCGGAACCAAAGCCAACAGAGAGGATCAAACTCACGACCCCTGGTTTACAAGACCAGCGCCCTATCAACTGAGCTATGGCGGCAACTGGAGACTCGAATGAAACAAGACAATGTGTGAATTTGATTAACTACTTTCACTCGTTCGGATTTGATTCATTGGTGGATATACCAAGAGAAGCCGTCCAAAACAGCAATAAAGTCACCAGCGCGGTTCCAACTCGCGACTCCTGCTTCACGAGACTAACCAATGAACTATGGCGTTGACTGAAACTATGCGTGGAAGAAGATAATGTATAGATTTTGTTAAATAATTGTCATTTTTTATTTTCTTGAAAGACAGACATAAACAAAAGGGACATGGTAAGCCACAAGTAAGGATCGAACTCGCGACCCCTGCTTTACGAGAACAGTGCACTAACCAATGAACTATTACGTCGACCTAAACTATGCATGAAACAAGATAATGTATAGATTTCATTAACTAATTGTAAGGTTTGTTGTTTCATCTACTCGATAGATAAACATTAAAAAAATCAGAACCAAAGCCACCAGTGAGGATCGAACTCACGACCCCTGGTTTACAAGACCAGTGCTTTTTTTTTTTTTTTTTTTTATATCTTGCGGATCAGAATTTTCCAAGGCACAGATCAGTGTCTAATGCCACGTCATATCCGTGTCATATCGGTATAACGCTTCATAAGCATGCCACTGCATAAGCAGCAGTCATAAACTTATGGAGGCTTCAGTATCTGCCGCGCCATTGCACAGCACAAACTTCCACCCCGGGGTTCGGTATACACTGTATGTCACAGCATAACTTTCGCCCAGGGCTTCCGTCTGCACCATGCATAGCATAGCTCAACTTCCGCCCCCCGGCTTCCGTACATACTGCGTGACGCTTAACACGCACACAGCATGACATCCACCGTGAAGCTTCCGATTCATCACGTCCGCTTAATATGTGATGGTATTTCCGACATAAAAAATGGATAAAATTGCAGAGTCCACTTGGGCAGATATGCTTTTGTTTATGGTGGATTGCGTTATGTAGCTGAATATCCATTTAGGATCTCCTTCCAGTTATTTACTATTCCGAGAAAAATAAGGTTAGTAAAAGTGTTCTCCATTGTGTTTAAAAATTGCGTAAAGTGAGATATTGTTTTTGAAATTATATCATCGTCCATAGGGGTCAAATATTTATTTTGGATATCCAGTCTTATTTTGGTGCCAATTAAGTTCTTTTTCCATATTACATAACATTTGGTGACTACTATTCGGTTATGCCCCCTGTAACTATTGTAGAATATTTCCTTCGGAGTTATTTTGATGGAGTTGCTTAGTACGCTGTTAAGAATTTTTAAAAGTTTTACCGCATATTTCCTCGTTGATTTACAGTTTATAATTATATGTCCTGTATTGTCTACAGGCCCTTTGCAAAATTTGCAGCCTAATATTTTTAAGTTTCCGAGAGCATCATACCTGAGGGACATTCCCCTCAAGCGATCGCCGAATATGTACCCCTCTCTTATAATGCGATACGAGATTATTCGTTCCGCGTTAGTAAACTTATTTTTATAATCATGGTTAAATAGGTGAGCTTCTTCCCAATTCACATTCAGCAGCTGTTGTTTTTCTTTGGCTGTCCTGTTGTTCTTCAATTTCATGTACAGGTCTTTATGTCTTGCAACCTCCCAGGTGGATTGCGAGAAATTCAATTCTTTATAGATGTCGAGGATGTATGCCCATTGCTCTGGAATAGTATTGCTGTGGGGCATTGAGTTGGTGTATCTATCCTTGTTAATTTGCTTGACTCTGGATCCCAAAGAGTATAATGCCTCTATTTGCCAAAATTGAGTTAGGGGTTCGTTACCCACGATGTATCTCATTTTTTCCACTGCACATGCCTTTATTTTTGCATCAACATCAATCATATTGATCCCACCATCGTTCCACATTCTTTGTAGCGATTTTCTGCTAATGGCCTCTATCTTTTGCGGGTGCCAGAGGAACTTAAACAGCGCACTCTCGATTTTCTTTATATACGTTTTCGGGATTCTCTTTACTCTCGTATGGAAGATTATGACAGACATAATCATGGAGTTGATTGATATCAGTTTACCATACCAGGTGAGGTTTCGCAGCTTAACGTAATTTAGGGTTCGTATCATCTTATTTTCGATTACCTGCCACATATTGTTTAAGTCCATATTTCCAAATTGTATTCCAAGTATTATGGTGTTTTGTTTTATGTAGTTCCCATGTGGCGAATTGTTCACTAAATTATGCGATTCTTTTGTAATACAGAGAATTTCGGTCTTATCTTTATTTATTTTTTGTCCTGTTGCTAAATGGAAATTGTCTAGCTCGTGAAAGATTTCTGTAATAGATAATTGATCTCTAACTGCGAACGTGATATCATCAGCAAACTGATCGAGTTTATGCTCGTATCTCCCCAGTTGGATACCATGTATATTGGCATTTAATTGTACCGATCTTGCTAGGGGCTCTATATTGATGGCGTAGAGAAGCATACTTAACGGGCATCCTTGCCTAATTCCTTGCCCTATATCGATTTCCTGCGTGAGTCTACCGTTTACATCTACCTGACTTTTAATTCCGTAATACATGCTTTTAATTGCTTTTGAGATTCTATTTCCAAGTCCAATTTGATGTAAAATTTTAAATAAGAAGTCATGATTCACTCTATCAAAAGCTTTAAGATTGTCTATTATTATTAGTGATCCGGGGATATTTTTCATTTTGCAGTGTCTAATTATAGCGTCTATATTATAATGAACATCTTCCATACATCTTTGCTTGAGTGCGCATTTCTGGGATGGACTTATGATTTTGTTTAGTACTGGTTCTAATCGTTTAACAAGGATTCTTGATAGGATTTTATAGTCTGCATTGAGCGTTGTGATTGGCCTCCAATTTTTTAAATTTGTTTTGTCTCCCTTCTTGTATACTAATTTAACTTTCGCTATGGTAGCAGATTTTGGTATTTGGCCGAAATATAATATGTTATTCATAAGTTGAGTAAATTGCTTTTTAATAGAGTTCCAGAAGGTCAGGTAGAATTCTTTGGATAGACCATCAAATCCTGGGGATTTATCGTTTCCCATAAATTTTATCGCCCTATATACCTCTTCTTGTGAGATATAGCTTTCTAGTATGATATTATCCTCATCTGCAATTTTAGAAGAGCCCATTAAGTTTAGATAACGATTTTGGTATTGTTCTTGCGTTATATTCTCTTTGCCCCATAGGTTCTTATAGAAACTTTCTACTATTGATATGATCTCCCCGGGATTTGTTTTTACATTTTGGTCATTTGTCACCAGCTCTTCTATTGTTGTTTGCCTAGATCTGCGCCGGATTTTTTCATAAAAGGTTTTGGTGGGCCTTTCCCCTTCTTCAAGGTTTTTCATTTTTGCCATTAGTATGTCCCTTTTGTTTCGTTCATCTTGAATTATCTCGATCTGCGATTTTAGCCTTTTGATTTCGATCATGTTTTCCGCTTTCCCCTCATTGATTAGTATATCAAATCTTTTTCGAATTTGCATTAAGCTATTATTGTGGTCACGTGTCCGGAATTTCGAGTAGGCAATGGTTTGTTTTTTAACCCTCTTTTTCACATAGTCCCACCAGTCCGACAAGTAATCAAAGTTTTCGATATCCGTGAGTGCGTCTTTATATGTATTTTGGATGATGGTGATATACGTGGGGTCCTTATATAGCGCGGTGTTATTGCGCCACGTTCCTTTGCCCCATCGAACCTTTTTGGTTTGTTCTAGTGTAATTTGTGGGCATAGTATGTGATCCGAAACAGTGTTGGGTATATGGGTTATGTCCGAAATGATGCTATTTACATTGGCCGAGTTATATATCCGGTCTATTCTCCGTCCTTGCGATTTGAAGTGGAAGGTATAGATTTGTTTGTTTGGATATTTTGCACGGTAGGTATCGAATATATTGTTCTGTAGGACGAATTTTCGGAAGATTTTCTCAGGGGGTCGCATTTTGAAGTTGTTGGCATTTGTGACGTCACGAATGTCCAGGACGGCATTGAAATCTCCGACTATTATTAAGTAATTTGATTCGCAGTAATTACTTAGAATGTTGGCGAGATTTTGGTAGAACTCCGTTTTATGAGGGCCGTTTTTCGCCGGGGCGTAAACATTGAATATCTTGATGATCCGCTTGTCCATTTCTATTTCTATACTATCGCACCGATGATATGTGTGGTGTAAGTTGGTGGCAATATGGTATCACAAACTTTAACCATTATCAACGTGCCTTGCCTGTAAGAGGTATGGAAACCTTCATTCCTATCCAGAGTATTATAATATATATTATATTTTTTATCATTCGCCCACTGGGTCATGAGGGCCTTGTCGACCTTATGGGCCTCTTGTATACAAAGGACATTCGGCTTATCCGTTTCTATAAATTTGTCCAATTCATATCTATGGTGTTGTAGACCATTTACGTTCATGGAAACAATCTTCACCTTAGCCATATATACCTAGTAAAAAGGTGTATGCTACTATTTATGGTATAAGCAAATAATATCCCGAATTATAGTTTATAAGTTTGTACGTCAGTAGACGTATAAGAAGCAGTTTCTGAAAATTTTAAAAGTTTCATTCACTTACGCTTTCCTTTTTTATTTTTTCCAGTCAATTTTGTTTCTGTTGTAGCCGAAAAGGATGATTCCGATGACGATTCTCTATTTCTTTTATTGTTCAGGTCGGAGTTGTCCAGGTTTGCGTCCGTCAGATCTACTATGTGTTCGTTATTTCCTAGAACTGCTGGGGCAGAGAGAATTTCATCCGGAACGTCGCTAAATAAAGACGTTGTTGTGTCGTGCGCTTCATATTTATGGACCATGACTTTAACATAGGCCTTCCCTTTCGGTGGAGGGTGGAAAGGCGTATTGCCGATGGTCGAAGTTTGTTTCAGTTTTCTGCTCGGTTCCGGTTGTTTAGGTGTTTGATGGGTATTTCCAGGTTGTGCGTCTTTGGGCGATTCTCCAAGTTGCGCGTCTTTTTGGGGGGTTTGACTCGGACTTGTTGTGTTTCCGACATCTTCACATTCCGACCAGTCACTTATTTCACGTAGTTCAGAGGCCGACGGAGAAAATTCGGAGATGGATTTATCCTTGCCACCTTGCGTTGTTTCCTGTTTGTTCTTTGTAGGTGTAATTTCTTCGGTTGATTGGCAATTAACCTGATTAGGTGTAATTACCGGTCGGTTTTGCTTGGTGTTTCCATTGTTTTGTTTTGTTTTGCTAGGTGAATTTGTAGGAATTATCGGTTGCGTCCTCCTTTGTTTGGGAAAAGTCCAGGTTTTTGTGTAATTTCCTATGGCTGGAAAGTCTCTAGCTTTTGTTTGGCAGTCCTTTTGTAAATGTCCAGCCTGTCTACAATATCTGCAGACAGGCTCGTTATTACAGTCTATGGATGTGTGTCCAGATTGTAGACATCTTCCACATTTTGGAATGTATAGTTCTTTCGGAAGATATGTTTTACATTTGAGGCCTTTGAACACTACATAGTCTGGTAATCGTTCCTTTTTAAAACCCTCTATTATGAAAGCTATGTAGCCGTTATATACATCAGTCCCTCTGTGCCAATTCTTAATAGCACTCTTTACTGTCCCACAACCCAGCTGGTTGATCGTATGAACAGCTTTGTCATAGGATATTTCGTGAGGTATATCCTTCACTGAAATCCTTACGGGTGCATCGCTCGGCATTTGTACAGCGATTTGTGCTTCTGCTGTTTTAATTTGTCCTTGTGTAGCTTCCAAGAAACTTTCCCTGCAGCTGTTATTTGGACCGTCCGTAGGTGCAAACGTTAAAATCCATTGGCCCTTGCGGGTCTCATATAATCCCTTAATTTCGTTTGTATATTCCTTAGTTTTTTCATTGTTTTTCAGTAATTCCATTATTGAGGCGAAGGTGAATTCTGTGTCCGTTTTGAGGAAAACCGTTCTTGGTCTTGCTTCTCCTGGTGATGTTTCTACTGGTGGGTTCGATGCGACAGCCGCAGAATAGTCCCGGGTTGTTGCACTGCCTGCTTTCGCGTAATCCATGCTGTTTGACAGACAGGCGCTTTAACCACTGAGCTATGGCGGCGACTGAACACGCGAAGGAAACAAGACAATGTTTGGATTTGATTAACTAATTCCACTCGTTCGGATTTGATTGGCGCCGACTGAAACTATTCATGGAACAAGATAATGTATAGATTTCATTAGCAATTGTCAGGTTTGTTGTTTCATTTACTCGATAGATAGACATCAAAAAACAAGGAACCAAAGCCATCAGTGAGGATCGAACTGACGACCCCCGGTCTACAGTACCAGTGCCCTAACCACTGAGCTATGGCGGCGATTAAAAACGCGAATGAAACAAGACAATGTGTGGATTTGATTAACTTATTTCACTCGTTCGGATTTGATTGGCGCCGACTGAAACTATGCATGGAACAAGACAATGTATAGATTTCATTAACTAATTGTCAGGTTTGTTGTTTCATTTACTCGATAGATAGACATCAAAAAACAAGGCACCAAAGCCACCAGTAAGAATCGAACACACGACTACTGGTTTACAAAACCAGTGCTCCAACCATTGAGCTATGACAGCAAATTTAAATACGGTTTACCTAAATGTCATTTTTTTAATTTTTTGACAGATAGACATCACAAAAGGAGCATCCAAAGCCACCAGTGAGGATCGAACGTCCGACCCTTGGTTTACAAGACCAGTGCCCTAACAGCTGAGATATGGCTGCGACTGAAAACGCGGGTGGAACAAGACAATGTGTGGATTTGATTGATTTGTTGATAAAGCAAAAGCAGTCAAAGACAACATTACAGCCACCAGTGAGATTCGAACTCGCGACCCCCGCTTTACGAGAGCAGTGCCTTATCCACTACGCTATGACGACTACTGTAATCGCGAATGGAACGCGACAATGTATAGATTTCATTAACTAATTGCCATTTTCCTTTCCCCTTGATAGTTAGGCATCACAAAACAAACATGCAAAGTCACCAGTGAGGATAAAAATCACGACGCTTGGTTGCCAGACCAGTGCTCTAACCGCTGAGCTATGGTGGCGATTGAGAAACGCGGATGGAACAGGACAATGTATAGATTTGATTAACAGATTTAAAAAAAAATTTTACTTGATAGAAAGACATCCTAAAGGTGGGGATCGAACTCACGAAACGTGGTTCACATGACCAGTGCTCTAACCACCGAGCTATGGCGGCGACTGAAAACGAAGTTGGAACAAGACAATGTATAAATTCCAACTAATTGCTCTCGCTTGGATTTGCTCAATTGATATAGCAAAAGAAGCGGTCAAAACAGCAATAATACCACCAGCGAGATTCGAACTCGCGACCCCTGCTTTACGAGAGCAGTGCTCTAACCCCTGAGACTGAAAACTTTAATACAGCACGACAATGTTTGGCTTTCATTCAAATTTCTTAATTAACTTGATTGATGAATATTTCAAAAAAGGCAACCGAAAGCAAAATTCATCAGCGAGGATCGAGCCCACGACGCTGGTTTACAAGACCAGTGTTCTAACCACTGAGCTAAAGCGGCGACTGAATGTGTGATTGCAACAAGACAAGTAGATTTAATCAACTACATTTCAGTGATTTGGATGTACTTGATTCATAAATAGCCTATAACAAAAGAAGCAGTCAAATGTAGGAATAAAGGTACAAGCAAGGTTCGAAGAGCGGGTAACCCGGGCGTGACTATGAGTCCAGCATTCCTTGGTTAAGTAGATGGGGCGAGCTTCAGGACTAGGAAAGAAAGTTTTTCGAACCTCGTTCTCTCCAATTCTGCCCATCTCTTTCACTTTGAGATTTCGTGGGTTTTGAAAAATCTCCGTGCGCTACGACTCATTTAAAAGTTTTTGGTAGGTGTGATTGAGCAAACAATAAGCAACTACCTTTTCCTAGTACAACCGCGTGATTATCTTTTTAACGAATATTGTATATGGTTGATATTTTACAGGTTGAAAAATATCAGAGCATAACATTTCCTCAAGCGTGGAAGACGCAGTGACCCGTAACCATTCTACGAATCCGAATTTTCGTGCAGTTTTGTGTTACAGTCAATTACGGGCTTCAGTTGGGTTTTCATTGGACAGAAGTGTGAATTATAACAAAATACAAAACATTATGTCCGTATTACGCAGGCCGGGAATGTATAACGTTGAATATTGCAAATAAAACGTAGATGTGTTTTCTGTTACGATGAGATTATTATGATTGGTCATGATGAGTTTCACACAGGCTGACAGGCGTGTGGGTCTAAATTGGTGCAGAAGTACGGTACTTCATGGTAAAAAACATTTGGTTGTCACTTCCCACTGACAGCCGAGATGTCTTTATGTATTTCAGACTAAATGTTTTCCAGGGGGAGGGGGAAGTCGATAAGACGGCTCACTCAGTCATATGACCAACCACGCCCTCCCATTTCTGCATTTGATTATTCAGCCAGATCTGCTCTAGCAGATGATAAATAAGAATGCATGAAACATTTCACAAAGTCTCACATTCATTTAGTGCTAAGTTAGTTTAATTTTATACAATAAGAACAATATTATGAGTGCAACAAATTTGAAGCTGTGATGAACATCATTTGTCAACAAGAGGGAAACTGGTATTACATTTCTGCTCGTTCGGAGTTGAACTTTGATTTAACTAGTACATTTCGAATGGGACAGTAAATCAGTTTTTAATTTAGAATTTGAAACCAGTAGAACTTTAAAGTATCCAAAAGGCTCTCTTTGGAGTCTTGCTTATGCTTTTTTTTTTTATGGGCCATAGTGTATATATACATATACCTCTATATAGAGAACACTTATGCTTGGTGGCAAGAATTTGTTTGAAAATTTGCTGTAAGCACAATCTGTTCTACAAATCAAATCTAATATGTGATAAAACAGCAAAACATCACGAGAGTGAACAATTAAAGAAATGCTCCAAAGATGAAGGACCTTCGGAAAGACATAAACGTATTCTCAAAAGAGACCTGCAGACATTTTGTAAAATTTGTAAAAAACGGTTTTCTTCATTAAGTACCTACAGGCTTCCCACTCGAATTCATACTGCAGAAAAGCCACATACCTGTAAACAATGTGGAAAGTGTTTTTCATATAAATCTTCGCTTGAAAGGCACGTTAAAACCCATACCGGTGAGAAGCCATATACCTGTCAACATTGTGGAAAGTGTTTTTCGCAGAATTCCAATTGGCAAAAACATATTCGAATCCATACAGGAGAAAATCTACATACATGCCAACATTGTAGAAAGAACTTTTTGAGAAATTCCCACCTGAAAAGGCATATCAGTATTCATACTGATGAAAATCCATTTGAATGTTAGCGTTGTCTAATTTTTTTGTGAAACTACATTTTAATAACAAAGGATTGAAATATATAACGCAATATATTCATAAAGTTGCATAATTGATAGCCAATGCTCGGATAAACACGTTTAAAATTGTATTGGGAAAAACTGTATGGTTTGGTGGAAATGTTTAACTTTAGCATATTATAACAGATGTAATAGGTCTTTGTTTATTCATAAGCCATACTGTCTGAAATATGTTATAATGAAGAAGATAAATATCAGTGATTTGATGGAAATTAATCTTTTTGGTATTTGTGAATGTGAAGTTTCATCAACTATATCGCAAAAAATACATTGAAAACGATTTTTGTCGAAGTTATGTTAAATTCACAGAATACAGTGATGGTAATAAACGATTCTGAAAATACTTGTTTTGTATTATGTTGCTTGCATGGATTAATAAACACGTACATATTTTATTTTTTGTGTCGTGAAATCTTTGAAAAAAATAAATGACAAGTCAGCCTATGAGATATGTTGTGAATTGCTTTAATCAAATTTACCGCAAGTGTATTACAATGCCAATTTCAATCAATATATACCTAGGCTTAATCAAATTGGGTCTTGCATTTTCTGTTGAATTCGAGCTTAGTCTAAAAAAATGTTATGCTTCTCTCAAATCAGCAATATGTTTTCTTTTATAAGTGGTCTCATGTACATGGTATTTTTTGGTGTAAATTGCACCGTAAAAAGAATCACAACTTGAATGTGGACGATATTTTAAATAATCCATGGAAACACGGTTTTCAATGTCGTTTAGTGAACATGCGCCCAGCACTCGCTATTATATAGAACTATTGTTCACTACAACTACATTTCAGCATATATATAATGCTGAAGCTACGTGTCACCTACCGCTATGCATCACAGTGCCTAATACACCTTGTGTACAGTATGAAGTGGCAAGCATACCGAATTTATTTTATTATGAGCGCCATACAAAATTGCCTAACTTTCAAACTTATAGTTTGAAATAGGATAGTTTCAAACTTCGGACAAAAGTTTAAAACTGGCATACCGGTATCTCATCTAAATGGAACTGAATTTTGCTCATAATAATTTTTGTAAAAAGCACAATTATGTATATATTTTTAACTTCAATAATGTTGTATAGAAAATATTTCAGTAAAAAAAACGCATATTCTTTTAACAGCGCATGGCGTCGCTACCTTTCACACCATATTTGTCAAAACACTACCGCCTGATAGAGGCGTAAACAATGAATATAATCCAATAAACTGATCGAGAGATTTGTGTAAGGCCTACAATTTTGTATTATAAATTTCAAAAAAGAATGAAATTTTGTGCCTGCGTTAATAGTGATGTCTACGTCACGATAAACGTTTTTCGCGACCTTCGAATAGGACGCCGTGTGGCGTCATTGGCGTGAGGTTGACGCCAGGCATTACGCCTCCTAATTAGCTCGTTGCAATGCGCTGAATTAAAATGTCGGAAACCGCTCATATAAAATATCGTTATGGCCAATGTCAATGATAAAATTACTTGATTAT